TAAAACATCTTGTAATGTAATTATAGCAATATATTTTAAGATTATGTTAATTTTCAAACTCATAAATTCTCTACACTTTGACTTCTCATGATTTATATTATTGGTAACAAGTTATATATTTTACATTAGGTTTGCAATAACATACTTTGTAGTAATAATTATTTCATACTTTTGTTTAAGGTATTCTAGAATTAAAAGTGATCCATGTATCACCTTTTCAGCATTACAGTATTACCCTAATTTTGCTTTTCTGTTGCTTTTAGTTATCACCTCGTTTGAAGTGAAGACATCCTTTAACACTGTCTTTTGTAATGTATTTAGTTAATGGTGATAGCCCTCTATTTTATGTGGGAAAAAAAGGTATCATTTTTTTGGAGGCCAGTTTTTCTGGATATGGTATCCTTGGTTAGCACACTTTTTTCTTCTAAGCCTTTGAACTTAACATTTCATCAACTGAAAGGTTACTCTTGATCATTGAATGAGGTTTCCTTTTATGCGATGAGGCACCTTTCTCTTCCTTTTAGTTTCTTTTTTCTCCCTTTCATTGAAAATAGATTTTTTTCTCATACAATATATCCTGATTACAGTTTACTTCCCCCTACTTCTCCCAGTTCCTCTCTGCCTCCTCTCCCCTCACCCTTCCCCTCCCATTTCCTACCCTCCAGATCTACTCCCTTTCTGCTTATCATTAGACTAGAACAGGCTTCTGAGAGATAATAACAAAATTAAATATAGTAAAACTAAACAAAACCCATCACAATGAAGTTGGACAAAGCAACCCAACTGAAGAGAAAGCGCCCTAAGAGAGGGCACAAGAATCAGAGACTCACCCATTCACACATTCAGGAGTCCCATAAACCGAAAGCTATAATTTATAAGCAGAGGACCTGGTGCAAACCCTTGTAGAACCTGTGCTTGCTGCTTTCAGTTTCTGTGAGTTCAGATGAGCTTTGCCCAGTTGATTTAGAGGGTCTCGTTCCCTGGTGCGTCCATCTCCTCTGGCTCTTACACTTTTTCCACCTCTGCTTCTGTGGGGTCCCTGAGTTTGGGGTGGGGGATGGGTGTTTCTAGAGACATCCCATTTAGGGCTGTGTGTTCCAAGGTCTCTCTCTGTAGTGAATGACTGGCTATGTGTCTCTGTATTTGTTCTCAACTGCTACAGGAGTAAACTTCTCTGATGGTGGCTGAATAAGGCATTGATCTATGAGTATAGCAGAATATCATTAGGAGTCATTTTATCACTACTTTTTATGACCAGTAATATTTGGTTTTTCTCTAGGTCTATGAGCTACCTAGTCTCTGGTTCTTAGTCAGGTATGGTTTCCATCTTGTGATCAATGTCACATCAGACATTGGTTGGTTACTCCCACAAGCTTTGTGCCACCATTGCCTTAGCATATTTTGCAAGCAAGACAACATTATAGATTAAAGGTTTTGTGGCTGGGTTGGTGTTTACATTTCTCTTTTGGTAACCTGTAGAGTACCTTCCCATATCAAAGACACTAGAACATAGGGGTGAAGGTTCTATGTAGGCGCCAGCTTGACCTCTCCATGTTCAGCGAGTTGTGTGGGTGCTATCTTCAGTAGTAGGACCTTAGTGTCAGTTTGTGGAAAGCAACCTACTATCTTGGCAACAGCCTGGATTATTTAGGAATTTCTGTAGGACCCCTTTGGCTAACAACTCAATTGGATGTAACCCTGTCCTGGTCCTGGAAACTTCATTTGGTGACAAGAGACTGCCAGTTGGGATTCTGTCTCCCTCATTGTTTGAAGACTACATTAGGATCACCTTTATATATTTTAGGAAGTTTCTATTGGACTAGGTTTCCATATAACCCCTCAGATGCCTCTCAATTCTAATTGTCCCTCAAACTCATTTCCCTCTCCCATTGATCCTGCTGGGGTGCTGCTCCAACCCAGCCCCACTCCACCCATAAAACCTATACTATTTCCTTTTCCTAGAGAGATCCATATGTCCCACTTCGGCTATACCAAGCCTCTCTGGGTCTAAGGATTGTAGCTTGGTTAACATTTCATTAGCATCCCATATCCACATATAAGTGAATGCATGACATGCTTATCTTTCTGGGTCTGGGTTACCTGACTCAGAATGATTTTTTTTCTAGTTCCATCCATTTGCCAGCAAATTTCATGATGTCATTGTTTTTAACAGCTGAATTGTAGTGGCATTTCATTTGTATTTTAATAAATAAAGCTTGCCTGGGGATCTGGAAGCAAAATAGCCAGCCATTGGCTCTTACCTCTACTTCAGTCTGAAATGGCGATCCTGCCTCCAGGAAACCTCAGAATGAGACTGAGACATTGAACTGTCTTCTCCTGTTTGATAACCCTCTCTAGTTATGGGATTAAAGGTGTGCACCAGTACTGCCTGGTTTCTATGGCAAGCTAGTGTAGCTACTGGGATTAAAGGTGTGTGTCATTGTTAACTGATCTGTAAGGCTGATCAGTGTGGCTGTTTTACTTTCCCAATCCCCAGCCAAGCTTTACTTATTACCATACAAATTAAATGCCACTAAACTGAGTAGTACTCTAATGTGTAAATGTGCCACATTTTCTTTATCCATATTCTTGGGATGAGGGGCACCTAGGTTGTTTCCAAGTTCTGACTATTACAAATAATGCTGCTATGAACACAGTTGAGCAAATATTCTTGTACTATGAGCGTGTATCCTTTTGGTATATAACCAAGAGTGGTATTGCTGGGTCTTGAGGTAGATTGAAGAAAAATCGCCATACTGATTTCCAAAGTGGCTGTACAAATGCGCACTTCCCCCAGCAATTGAGGAGTGTTCTCCTTACTCCCATCCTTGTCAGCATGAGCTGTCATTTGTTTTACACATCTTATCCATTCTGACAGGAGTAAGGTAAAATTTCAAAATAGTTTTGATTTGCATTTCCCCGACGGCTAAGGATGTTGAAAATGTCTTTAAGTGTTTCTCAGCCATTTAAATTTCCTCTATTAAGAATTCTCTGTTTAGATCTGTACTCCATTTAAGTATTTCACATGTAATCATTTAGCTGTGATGTATGCCAGTGTCAAATTCTGTGGATTCTTTGTAGAATTTCTTAGTCTTAGTTTTTTCGAATTTCTTAGTCTGTAAGTCCATTTCTCTTCCTGTTTGGGGTGCTTGACCCATTATTTTTATCAAATAATCTGTTTCTCTCTCTTTTTATCTCTTAATAAAGAGCTACCTGATAGTGTCCTGTACATCCTTTATAGTTTCTTCAGTCTTTTTCATATATTTTCTTTTTGTTCCTCTGCATTATAATTTCAAGCTGCCTGTCTTCAAGTTTGATAATTCAATTCTCTGGTTTATCAAGGCTACTGCTAGAGCACTCCAGTGAATTTTCTCAGTTTACATGTTTTATTCTTTAGCTTGGATTTTACATTATCTGTTGCTTTATTTGATATCTTCATTTTGTTCATACATAATTTTTTTATCTTGATACCTTTGTGCCAGTTATTGAATTATTTGTCAGACGATTTATATGCCTTTTCTAAAGTCATTTTGGGAATACATTTTGTGCTTTGTGTGGTCCACGTTTCTTAGTTCCATTTCATACCTTCTTGTTTGAGAAAATGTTTGCTTCTCTACATTTCTACTGGTTAGCTAGATTTATGCAGAAGAAGGCTTTTACCTGAGGTTAGAGATTCTGGGGGCCTCTCACACTTCTGGATTACTCATTATAAAGATTTACTAATTATTTTCCTGATTTTTTTTACAATATTTTGCTCCCTCTGGTGTCTCTCTTTGATATTGCACTTTTGGAGCAGCTGTAGTTTTTAAAATTAAATTTATTAATTTATTTTATCTCTGGACTGCGGTTTCTCCTGCAATTCCTTCCCACCACCTTCCCTCTGCTCCCACCCCAATCCACTTCTCCTCTGTTTCTGTTCAGAATGGGCCAGATCTCCCATGGATGCCATCAAATCTTGGCATATCAAGTTGAGGTAGGACTAAGCTCCTTTCTTCGTATTAAGGTTTGGTAAGGCAACCAAGTATGAGGAATAGGTTCCTCCAATGCATGACAAAGCATCAGGGACAGTCCCTGCTCCCACTGCTAGGAGTCCCACATGTAGACCAAGCTACACAACTGTCCCATATATGTAGAGGGCCTAAGTCAGTCCCATGTGGGCTTCTTAGCTGTCACTTCAGTGTCTGTGAGTTCCTAGGCCCAGGCTGGTTGTCTCTGTGGGTTCCTTTGTGATGCCCTGAAACCACATACACACACAACAACAAAAATGGACTTAGCTGGTTGTATTTATATATTTGTGCATACATACACACATACATATTGATGTATGTAACAATAATAACCAAAGAAAAAGAGGCTGTCAATTTGAAAGTGCGCGTCCTGGGAGGGGTTGGAGTACATGGGAGGAGCTTATGGGAGGAACAGGAAGGAGGAAAGTGATGTATTATAATTTAAAATCTATTCAAAAATGTGAGCTTCATTGATGCTTTTACTGACAAAACAAATCATTTCTGTGGAAAGTAGCCTTAAAAAATGACATGTCGAACACTTACCCTATTTTATTCCTAAAATAGAAGTCACTAAGTTGTATTAAACTCTGTTCTACTACATTTCAAGTCATGGCAATCTGCTTTATTCTCAGCTGCCTTCAGACATGTTGAGCATGCCCAGTCCTGTCAGGGTTTTGAGAGTGATGGTATTTGAGCGACTACCTTGAGTAGCTCTCTGAAAAATAACATGCTAGACATATGTTCCAACTTTTTCCCTTCCCAATGAGAATCTGAGAGTTGGAATTTTTTCTCTTGTTCCATACTCAGTGAGGGTATTGGGTGGGAGATTATCCTATTTGTCTTATTTTCAACGGTCCCTCCACCTGATAATCTTTAATACCAGTGTTCAGACTCAGGGAAGATGTAACTTAATTCCACATACCCAGCCTCACCTCACCCCCACAAATCCATATGTTTGACATATATTTAGTCTTTTTTTCTCTCTCTCTCCAGGAAGAATCTAGCAATTGAGTTTTGTTCTGATTGTACTGTGCTGAGCTGGGCAAAGATATCATGGCGAGTAAGTACTGCAGCCTTTCATGTTGGCATCAGTATGGCTGGTCATGCTTGCTGAGATGCAGGAGTCTATTAGTTGGTTTCTGGATTTCTCTTTGAGGAAATTAGACTATGTATTATTGTTGAATTTGGTATCCCCAAATTCAACCTTCTTTTCTACCATCTTGTTCACATAAAGACTCTCCATTTTATTGTTTTATTTTAATTCCTTTTGCCCAGAGATCTAGATCTGTGATGATATAAATTTTAGATCATTTGTCATGATCCACAGATGCCTATGAGTCTAGGTTCTTCCACCCCTATTTTTTATTTTCTTGTTAAAATCAAGTAAATTATACCTAAATTCTGTCCTCAACTTTGATAACTATGTTATTTATGTGCACTCTACTTTGAGTACATATAGCTATTTAAAAGACACATGCTTGAGATGAGAAGTCATTTTTATTGCACCTTAAACATCTTGTCTACTATTTGGGTAACTCTTAATCCTATTTAAGTCATTGATTTTATCAGGCAATCATCCTTTTAGTTAAGCATATAGGCTATGAACTGCTTTATTTTTTATTTCAAATTTTTTCATACAATACACTTTAATTGTATTCTTTCACCTCCTCCAACTCCTCCCAGATAACCCCAACTTCCCTTCTCACCAAACTTCATGCCCCTCTCTCTTCCTTTCTCAAAACAATAACAAGTACAAAACAAAAATAAACGCCTAATGAAATAAAACTAAACAAAAACCCCTACAAGACAAGCATAACAAAATAAAACAAAAAGCATGCAGAAAAATATGAAGTCCATTTTGTGTTGGCCAACACTCCTGGTCATGGGACCTGCTCTGAAGTATGTTGTTATACCCAGTGATAACTCCAATGAAGAAAAGGGATTTTTCCTCTCCCAGCAGATACCAATTGCCAATAGCTTCTTGGTTAGAGGTGGGATTTCGTCCCACTCCCCTTCTCAATGCTGCAGTTTTGATTGGTTTGAATTGCTCAGGCCTTGTGTGTGCTATCATGGTGTCTGTGAGTTGTTGCACACATCAGGCCCCTTGTGCATGGGTGACACTGTTTCCTTGCAGTAGTTCACCACCTCTGACAGCTTAAAATCTTTCCACCTTTTCTTCCACTTAGATCTCTAAGCCTTGAGGGGAGGGGTTTGATAAAGACATTCCAGTTTGGCCTCCGTTCTCCAAAGTCTCTCCCTATGTATGTGTTGCTCAGTTGTAGGTCTCTGTTTTAATTAAAAGCTATTGCAAGAAGAAGCTTCTCTGATGAGGGTTGAGCAAGGATCTAATCTATGGCTATAACAATATACCATTAGGAATCATTTTATTGCTACGTCCCTTTAGCAGAATAGTAGTAGGTTTTTCCCGAGGCTTATGACCTATCTAGTCTCATGTCCTTGAACACTTCACCCGCATCAGGTATGGGTTCTATATCATGAGGTAGGGCCTTAATTCTAATAAAAAGTAGTTGGTTGTTCTCACAAGCTTTGTGCCATGATTGCATCAGTATATCGTATAGGCCCGTCTCCGTTGTAGGTCACAGGGTTTTTACTTGGTGAAATTTACCATTACTTTTCTTCTCTGGTAATATGCAAAGTACCTTTGAGTACCATAAATGCTAGTAAGTAGGAGTGAAGCTTCCAATTGGAGACTAGTTTGATTTTTTTCATGTTAGACAATATCAGTAAGTTGTGTCTTCAGCAGTATGGCATTCTGACAGATGTCTTAGTTCTTATACTCAGTTTTGAAACCCCATAAGAGGTATTTTCCATCATTATAGATACCCTTCCTACCTATACACTTTGGACTCTGACACTTGAGTGATGCACTATAAATTCACTTTTCACCTTACAGGCCACTGAGACTCAATGAAAAGCTGCCATAGCCACCCTTTCTACTCTGAACACCTTTTATGCTGTTGCTTTATGCCTTTTAATGGCTTTGGTAGTAAATTTAGTGCTAAATTGTTTGAGAACTTAGGTAGGTTAGCTTTATTTACATAGTTCTGGATGTTTGCCAAGGAAAATACTTTCAGAGAAACTGAAGATATATGAAAGGGATAATTAGGAAGATTGACATCTAAGCGTGTGCTCTCTCCTTCCCTCCCTCATATAAAAGGACATGAATAGAATCCATATAAGAGGATATAAAAAATGATGGAGTCAGAGGTATGAGATGAACATATAACCAGTGAATTTTAGGAGTGTTCATAATTGAGAGAGTTACTAAAGGTGAGAATAGGTACACATTAAAATGAGATTGGGGGACCTTTGAGTTGACTTAGTCAGTAAAGGCACCACCAATGACTTACCAAGCCTGATGACCTGAGTTTGATCTATGGAACTCACATGGTAAAAGGAAGCAGAGAGCCAACTCCCAAAAGTAATCCTCTGACCTCCACATTGGCATCATGGTCACCATTGTAGATCAAAGGGTTTGTAGCTGGATTACCTACTAATTAACAGAATCTAGTACTACAAACACTAGTCAGTAGAGGTAAAGGTTCTAGGTAGGCACCAGCTTGACTTCTCCATGTTTAATGAGTTATGTAGGTGTTGCCTTTAACAGCTGGATCTTGCCATCATTTTTGTGGAGAGCAATCAATAGCCTTGACAATATCCTGGGTTGTTTTGGGGTTTTCCATGGAGCTCCTTTGGCCAACAACACAATTAGATATAACCCATTTCTTATACTGGAAGTTTCGTTTGATGATGAGTGATGCCTAGTTGGGGCTTTGTGTCTCCCGTTATTTGGTAATTCTATTTATATTTCTTTCATATATGTGCACATTTTAAGAAGCTTAAATAATGGGGGAGGGAAGATTGGGTCAACAGAGAAAATATAAGGAGGGGCAGCTAAAACTAAGGGCAATTTGAGGCTTGTATGTGATGGTTACTTTTAATTGTCATTTTGATATAACTTAGAATCACCTGGAAAGAGAGTTTCATAGGGGGATTGTGTGGATCAGGTCAGCCTGTGGGCAGGTCCAGGGGTAATTGTTGTAATTACATGAATTCATGTGGGAAGATTTAGTCTACTGTGAGTGGCACCATTCCCTATGGAAGGGTTCCTGAACTGTGTAAGAATATCAGAGAAGGTGAATACTAGTAGGCATGCAGTGCATTCTTTTCTCTCTGCTCTTGAATGTGAATGCGATGTGACTAGCTGTTTGAAGTTTCTGACACCGTGCGTCTCTACTGTAATAGACTACATCTTGGAATTCCAGGCTCAAGTAAACTCCCCCCAAAGTTGGGTTTTCTCAGGGTACTTTTTAATAGCAACCAAATGAAACTAGGCCAGGTTTGCTCCCTCTTTCTATTTTTATTTGGATTTTAAGGATTTGTAATGGAATCAGATGCGTGTTAGTAACATGCAGTTTCACATATAAAAAATGCCTTTATAATGAAGAAAAGTGTAGTTTGCAAGCATCTTTGTTAGTCATGTACCTAGTACGTTTTGAGTAGTCATGTAAAGTACAGTTCTAGCATCATCCTTTAACAACTATGCAGATGGCTACGTCCTACCCCCATGTCTACCTCGAGAGACATGTAGTCTCTTAGCTCTCCATCAAGATTTTAGAACATTTTTAAACGTTACCTGTTTCCATCCTGCTCGGTTTCCATTGATTGGAGATTCACACTCACACTGCTGATTTATAATGATCCAGGAATGTCTTCAGATGGTATAATTTGCAGCTCTTGTTCTTGGTTTAGTTTTGAATAATGATAGAGAATATTTGCCATACTTCTTCTACTTGATAATAATTTAGTAACTTAAGGATATTCTTTTATTTCCTCCTGAATGTATTGTCTATTCCTGCTGTCTTACGAAGATACTGTAGTGACTGTTAGGTACTCCAGAACCAGACTGCCTACGTTTGAACTTGACCTGACAGTTTATTAGAATCTGGGATTCTGAATGGGTTATGTAGGTTGTACCTTCTTACTGACTTACTTCTCCTGGAAAATGGTGATAATTAATACATGATCTCTTCCTCATTGAGTTATAGAGAATTAAAAGAGCCAATGTATGTACTCTGTTTAGAACAGTGTCTGGCACACCTACTGTCAGCATTAGTGAGACATGCAGCCCTATGATGCGAGCTATAGTGGCCTGAGAGTTCTTCCTAGAAACCTTTATCCGGTCTAAATTCTTAATGTACTATAGAAAAAAAATCCCTCTAATATTACCTGTGTATATGATTTCCAAACTGTTCACTTGGTATTGGCTAACTAGCTGCAGGACTCGTCCCTGAGGAATACTAGTCCTCTGGCTCTCAGCCCTTATTTGCTTATAGTTCTTTGTCTAATGTGTTGGGCCCAGGGTGAGTTCCTTCTCTCATATTAGCATGCCAGTTGGTATTGCTCTTATTCTGGTATTTAGCAGCCATACTATTGCAATGTTATAGGGATAGCTTCCTTCACATTTCTTTCTTTGTTTTTTGAGACAGGGTTTCTCTTTAGCTTTGGAACCTGTCCTGAAACTAGCTCTTGTAGATCAAGCTGACCTTGAACTCAGAGACCAGCCTGCCCCCCCCCCCCCCCCAGGCTGGGATTAAAGGTGTGCACCACCGCCCACCACTGCGGCTTTCGCACATTTCTAGTTCTAGGAGCTGCGGTCTCACAGCAGGCACTGTGTTCCAAGTTGCCTTATGGACTGAAAAGATGGTATACACATATATGCCTGGTATGTGTGTGTATGTGTATCTGTGTGTAAAACAACTATTAAAGAAAAAGACCAGAGACCATGTATTTGAGACAGAGAGCAAGTGGGGGGGGGAGGGGGGGTATGGAAGGAGTAGGAGGGAAGAAAGGTAAAGGGGAAATTATATAATGATATTTTAATTTAAAAATACGAGATGTACAAATTAAAGAATTTTGTAGGAGTCAGTATGAAGAAAAATTGGAGTTTATAAAATAAAGCTTTTAATCTAGATTTAGGTAGAAGCATTTAAAAGGGGGGAAGAATGTCGGGGTCCGATGCACCAACATAAACTACTTTTCCCTCTCTGTACGGCACAGAGGCGCGTGGGAATAATTGACACAGTTCACACAGCAATATCAGAAGGGAGTCTCAGGCTTCATTCAGATCCTAAAGATGGAAGATCGTCCGTCTATCCGTGTTTATTATCCAAACACCTTTTATCCCCCAAGGTAAATTAAGGTGGAAGTTCATTAACATTCTGGACTACCCCTGCAACTGGGTCACTAGTTTGGGATTAACACCTCTTCTCAGGCGATCTACATAATTACAGAAGAAAAGGGGCAGCATAACCTGGGCTTTTGTTAGGGTAGCAACAGCCTGTCTGGCAGGGTACGTGACTGTTCTGGATACCAACCATGGCCCAAGAACTTGGCTGTCACACCATGTAGAAATATGGGCCGACAGAAGAGACCTCTGAAAAAACAGCAATAGAAAGACTTGCATTTAAGTAACAATTAAGTAACAAGTAACTATGTATATGATTTTGATGGCTGTTGAAGTTACATTGTTCAGAATGTTTAAAAAGTAAGTTAAAGTTTGGCCTACGTTTCCCTACACTCTGGCCACTGTAGACTAATAAAAGCTTGCAAATTTATCAGGTTTTCATTCCTGGAGTGAATGAATGACTGTTATCCAATACTGTAAAGGGGGCCCTTAAGATGTTCATTAAGTATTGTGAGAGATGACATGACCCTGGATTATGTTGGTGGACTTTAATGTCATCACAGCGGCCACTAGATGAGGGAGACAGAGGAAGTTGGGCCAGAAAAACTGACAATGTAACTGTTACTGGAGCTTTTAGAGTAAAAGCCTGGCCTTAACAGTCGAACAAGCAAGACTCGTCTGCTATTCCTCCATTAAAACATAAGTAACAGGAAAAGTAGAGAAAGGAGATTTTAGTCAAAGTGGCTGCATTGGGAAGAGAAACAAATAAAAGGTCCAGTGAACTCCTAGTCAATCTTCAGGGTACTGGAAAGAGATTTTCCTTTACCTAGGGGGTAAGAGGTATGCATAATTAGATAGTCTTAATGAAAGTGTGGCCTTTCTCACTACCTTTGTTTGATCTCATTTGTCTTGCAAAGTGGTTTGATAAATTATCAGAGATTTGTGTAATATCTCCTAGGGAGAGAAGTGACTTCTCTTGTCACCAGGGCTTCCCTTTTTCTAGCATGGACTTACTGGAGAAATTTTAATTCCTTGGAGCCCATTGTTTCAATAGTCTGATACCCAAAATGAAGAGCACAAGTGTCCCTCTTTAGAGTATCTTCTCCTGCTATTTAAATGATGGTTAAATGATCAAACTGGTCAAATGATGACTTCAACACTGTCCTCATGGCTTTGAGAGTGTCACAAGCTAAGAGTGCAGCTTCAAAACTTGAAGCTGTGGAGCAAATGTCACCCTGCTGATACATTGATTTTTTTCCTAAGTGACATTGATTTTTAGCTTCTACCTTCCTCCAAAGTGAGAGGATGTTTGTTATTTTAAGCCAGCAACTCTGTAGTAACTTATTTTAGAAGCCACAGGAAAATTATGTGGATCAGATTGTTACTGGAGTTAGGGTCAAAGCCTATACTGTTAGCCTTAACAAGCCAAGCTCAACCATCTGTCCTTGATAGACCAAATAACACAGTCAAATTAATAATGGAAGGCAGAGAAAAATAGAGGTATATTTATTCAGTGGGGACCATATTGAGAAGAGGGACAGAGATTCAGTGGTTCCCACAAATTTTCAGGGTCCCAACATGAGGGAAAAGCTTAAATAGAAGACAAGATAAATGCATAACTAACGACTGCTACCAAGGTGTGTATGTCCTGCCCACCACCATCTTAGCTCTAGTATCCACTAGGTCAGTCTCTCCTGCAGTGTCATTGACCAGTTGTCAGTCTTTCCTGGAGATAAGTTCCTCCTCTGTTGGGCCCTAAGGCTTTAACCCTTTTCTCTTCTTAGTGTGAGGATCCTAAGGAAACTGTAATTTCTTGGGTCTGTTGTTTTAATAATTTGATGGTCCAAGGGAGGGCCACAGATTTTCTTTAAAATATCCTCATTTCTTGCATTCAGGCCAGTAACATCTTTCATCTTTGTTAACTTTAGCCATTATCATAGCCTGTCAAAATGGTAGAGGAAAAATGGAATAACGTTGATTTAGGACACTAACAATGCACTTCTGTCTTAATTTGCTTTCTATTGCTATGATAAAGACCATGACTAAATGTAAATTGGGGAGGAAATGGCCTATTTTGCCTTACAACTTACATTCCCTCATTTAGGGACATCAGAGCAGGAACCTAGAGACGGGAACTGAAGCAGAGGCCATAAAGGAATACTTCTTACTGGCTTGTTCCTCATCAATTGTTTGGCCTGATTTCTTTTTTTTTAATTTATTTATTTATTAAAGATTTCTGTCTCTTCCCCGCCACTGCCTCCCATTTCCCTCCCCCTCCCCCAATTAAGTCCCCCCCCCCCTCAGCGCGAAAAACAATCAGGGTTCCCTGTCCTGTGGGAAGTCCAAGGAACCCCCACCTCTATCCAGGTCTAGTAAGTTGAGCATCCAAACTGCCTAGGCTCCCACAAAGCCAGTGCGTGCAGTAGGATCAGAAACCCATTGCCATTGTTCTTGAGTTCTCAATAGTCCTCATTGTCCGCTATGTTCAGAGAGTCCGGTTTTATCCCATGCTTTTTCAGACCCAGTCCAGCTGGCCTTGGTGAGTTCCCAGTAGAACATCCCCATTGTCTCAGTGTGTGGATGCACCCCTCGCGGTCCTGAGTTCCTTGCTCGTGCTCTCTCTCCTTCTGCTCCTGATTTGGACCTTGAGATTTCAGTCCTGTGCTCCAATGTGGGTCTCTGTCTCTGTCTCCTTTCATCGCTTGCTGAAGGTTATTATTCAGGAGGATGCCTATATGTTTTTCTTTGGGTTCTCCTTATTTAGCTTCTCTAGGATCACTAATTATAGGCTAAATGTCCTTGGTTTATGGCTAGCGATCAGGGAAATGCAAATCAAGACAACTTTAAGATACCATCTTACACCTGTCAGAATGGCTAAAATAAAAAACACCAATGATAGCCTTTGTTGGAGAGGTTGTGGAGAAAGGGGTACGTACACTCATCCATTGCTGGTGGGAATGCAAACTTGTGCAAACACTTTGGAAAGCAGTGTGGCGGTTTCTCAGGAAATTCGGGATCAACTTACCACTGGACCCAGCAATACCACTCTTGGGAATAGACCCAAGAGAGGCCTTATCATACAACAAAAGTATATGCTCTACGATGTTCATAGCAGCATTGTTTGTGATAGCCAGAACCTGGAAACAACCTAGATGCCCTTCAATGGAAGAATGGATGAAGAAAGTATGGAATATATACATATTAGAGTACTACTCAGCAATAAAAAACAAGGACTTCTTGAATTTTGCATGCAAATGGACGGAAATAGAAAACACTATCCTGAGTGAGGTAAGCCAGACCCAAAAAGAGGAACATGGGATGTACTCACTCATATTTGGCCTGATTTCTTATACAAGCCAGAGGTAGCATCACATAAAATGGGCTGGGATCTCCCATATCAGTCATTAATCATGAAAATCCCCCTGCAGTCTTGCCTATGGACCAATATAGTGGATGCATTTTCTCAGTTGAATTTCCCTCTTCTCAGAGGACCTTGTTTTATATCAAGGCAACAAAAAAATTTAACCAGTACAAGTTAGATCACATAAATGAGATTTTACCAGGTAGAACCTTAAAGTGGAACTGCAGATATAATCATTCCAGGTATGAATTAACTTTGGAAAGAAACATTGTTCATTGATGCTGTGCAATAGGTATATAAGGGCTACAGTGATGGCTCAGCCATTAATGGCTAGGCTTACTACCAAAAATAGATTCTTAAAGTACAGTACACTTCTTCCAACAAACTATCTGGAGATTGAGGTTGCACCTTGAATATGATCTGTCCCCCAGACACTCCCATTTAACAATTTGGTTTCCAGGTGTTCATAGTGTTTTTAGAGGGTTGAGGAACCTTTAGGAGACAGAAAATTGCTTAGAAATGGGTTCTTGGTGATGGAATTTGGGTTTTATGGCCTGATGACTTTTTTAAAAATCTGCTTTCTGTTTCTTGACTTCAGATGCAACGTGACCAAGCATCTCACAGTCCTGCTGCCGCATCTTCACTGCCATGATGGACTGCATCCACTCAAATTGTAAGCAAAACTAAGTGCTCTCTTAGAAGGTATTGTGTCACTGAAATGAGAAAAGTAACTAAGACATGCCAGTCCCCCTCTGTCCCTCCCTCCCTTCCTTCCCAGACTAACCTTAAATATATTATGACCTAGCTCAAGGTGACATTAAACTTGAATCTGAGTGCTAGCATTAGATTTGTTGTATGTGGCCCAGATGACAAAGGCTTTCTAGTCTTTCTCTGAAACTGACCTTTTGACAAATATGTTGTTACAAGGTAATACAATTTTTGTCAGTTCCAGTTGCAGTGTCTGAATAATGGAAAATGAAATTACCAACACACTTGCCATTTGAAACTGTAAGTACAGTTTCCATTTTGTATAACCTAATAGCACATTGTCAACAATCCTTTTGACTGTGTTTGCCCACCTTGCAGTCCTATGAGGCTTTTTCTTTCACCTTCAATAGACTGACTTGATTCTAGGTCACCAAGTTTGTTTTGTTTTGATTTTTCATTTTTAGATATTGAGAACTACCATCTGAATATCTACCAGGTGATGATCTTTAGAGTATCTTCTCCCTTTATAACACTTTACAAATAATCCCATTTTATAAGCGAGAAACTTGAGGGTCAGAGTAAGTGAAATCTCCAAGATTATATAATCAACATCTGGTGTTTGTCACTTAAAATTTGGAGTGGAGATGCAAGTGTGGAAGATGTACATTCTGAGAAATGTATCTTTAGTCAATTTCATTATTATTTAAATGTCACATAGCATACTTATGCAAGCCAAAATTATATGGATCAATGCTGTTCTGAGACACAGCAAACACGAAATGTGTGAAACAGCTGCTTGAATACAACAGAGCACAGTGTTTCCTACTGATTGTTTTACATAAGTAGAAAGAGTACACTCTAAAGTAACAAGTGATAATGAGTGAGCCAGTAATGGTGCTGTTTGTTTTTATTTTAAATGTTATATACTATACAGAATTGTATATGCTGTATTTTATAGGTTTTCCAGCACAACAATTAACTGGGTATCACATTAAAAAGTCAGTTTTACTTTAAAATTCTTTATGAAAATCGTAACTTGATTAAATCTTGACATGTAATTTGATACTTTTACAGCATAAAGAAGAATGATGGTTGCTGTATATATGTTTTCATTATGACCCAAACTAATCACTATTTCATGAATTATTGTTTATATAAAAAGGAGCAATGAACAGAGCAACTGTGATTATTCAAAATGTAAACAGGTTACAGACTTCTTTCTAAAAACTTAATGAGATGAATCTCTTAGTTCATGGCAAACAGTTGATAATATATGTGACCAATGATAAAATTTAAGCTTTCCGATTAAAATTAGAACTTTGTGAAATATGTTTCCTTTACAATAAACTACATAGCTTCTTGATGATATCATTCAGTAATATTAAAATGAAGGTTTTATTTTTAAATTGTGTAATGAAATGGGAAGGTCCACACAACTCAGTGGGTTAATAGCAATGCTTAAAACATGGTATTGTGGAATTATGCATGTACAAAACTGGCGTTCAAAGTTGGGACTTCTCGTTTCTGTCTTAGCATGCAAATAGCTTAGGAATTATATAACCCCATTCTAAACAATTAAGAAAACTGAAAAACAACAATCTTTCTTAGATATAGCAGAGAACTGACATGCTGTTGAAAACCACTGAGCCATGGGTTGAACTAATGGGGCAAATATAGAGACTCACATCTTAGCAGGTAAGAGACCTTCAAGCAGAACCTTTGTAGGAATCAATAGTTGTGAAGAAAACCTGAATCAGGTGTCTATAATAAAGGTCAAAAAAAATGGGAGAGAAAAGATCTTAAGCTTGAGTATATGTTAGAAACTTCTGGAAGTAGAAAGCAAAAGGACAACAAAACAAAACAAATATAACAACCCCAAATCCCCAAACTTGGAAACTTTGTAGCATAGAAAGAAAATCCAGGAACTGTGAGGCAGCTAAAACCGGGTAATGTATGCCATATGTGAGTGTTAAAAGGTGAAAATGAGGATATTTGAAGCAAAAATGACTGCGAATTTCTTCAAGTTATTATCAGATACCAAATCACAGATGTGGGGAGCTCAACTAAATGCCCAAACAGATGGTAGAACAACAGATGAAACCAAGTCAAACCAAATGAAATTAAAGCTAAGTGTACCATAAAAAAACCCACAGAAGACCAAAGGAAAGGAAAAAGTATTGAAATAAATCAGAGGAAAAAATAGACTTACTCATATTTGACTTCTCAGAAAACATGAAAGCAGGAAGAAAATACAATACAATTTAAAAATTGAGAGATCTAACCCACATCAAACTAGAATCCTCTGCCCCCAAAATTATTTTTTAAAAGTGAAGGAAAAAACTTTCTCAGACAAGCAGAAATTAAAGGAGTTTGTTGCTAGTAGCCCTGCCCTGTAAGAAAAAAAAAATAGAAGCTTCTTTAGGGAACTGAACACTTAACTAAATAAAAGGCAAGAGCAGATAGCTATACCAAGAAAAACCACAAATGTTGTAATTCTAGATGCCTAGACCTAATGAAGATATGAAGAAATGTCTCAAAACCAGGAACAGACAGTTTAATGACATAAGGAAAACAATTTAAGATATGAAAGTAGAATTAAACAAAGAAATAGAATTCCTAATAAAAGCCAAACTGAAATCAGCTCGAAATTAGAAACTCAGGAAATCAAACAAAAAACTCCTAAGTAAGCCTCACTAACAGATTAAAAGACATAGAAGCGTAAATATTGGGTCCTTAGCATGAGGTAGATGAAATGGATGGTTCAGTAAAAGTAAATTTTAAAACTAAAAATAAATTTAGGCACAAAATATCCAGGAAATCTGAGACAATAGGAATAAACCCAAAACCCCTATAAGTAACAGGTCTAGAAGAATAGGATATCAAGATCAAAGACACAGAAAAATATTTAATTATTATTTTCAATTTTATTTTTTGGGGATTATAATAAAATTATAACATTTCCCTTCCTTTTATTCCCTCCAAACCATCCAATGCAATGCCCCGCTCCTGCCATCAAATTTATGGACTCTTTTTTCACTGATTGACAACATTTCTCCTATCTAAAGAAAGAGATGTCTATCAAGTTACAAGAGGCAAACAAAACACCAGATGAACAGAACCAGAAAAAAAAAACTCTATACTACACATAATAATCAAACTTTAAATGTAACGAACAAAAAAAGGATATTAAAAGATATAAGGGAAAAGACTAAGGCAAATATAAACTAAGTCAAAATATAAATATAAGACTAAGTCAAAATATAAATATAGAACAACACCTGACTTTTTTAATGAAGATTCAGAAAGATATAAGGGCCTGAACAGATGGCATATAAGCCCTGAAAGACCACAGGTGCCAGTCTAGAATCTTATACCCAGAAAAACTATGAATGACAATTAACTGAAAAGAACAAAAAATATGATGAGAACAAATTTAAGCATTTTCTTCCTCCAATCCTGGTCTATAGAAGACAATGGAATGAAAACCAGGCTGAAGAGAAAATCAGCCTAATAAAATGCAAAAAAAGTTTATCATAAAAGGGGAACAATGGGGCTGGAGAGATGGCTCAGTGGTTAAGAGCACTGCCTGCTCTTCCAAAGGTCCTGAGTTCAATTCCCGGCAACCACATGGTGGCTCACAACCATCTGGAATGAGGTCTGGTGCCCTCTTCTGGCCTGCAGACATACACACAGACAAAATATTGTATACATAATAAATAAAAAAGTAATAATAAAGGGTTATTTATTTAAAAAGGGGGGAACAATGTCAAAGTAAAATAAGAGGAATTAGTAAAAAAATGTTGAATAATAGCTCTCAATAAATTGTCTCAATTTCTCAATTTAAAAAGATATGAATTAATAGACTGGATTAGAAAACAGTATCCATCTTCCTGCTGAATCCAAGAAACATATCTCACCATAATGGACTGTTATCACCTTAGGGTGAAAGGGTAGAAAAAGGCATCCTAGGCAAATGGAACCAAGAAGCAAGCAGGCAAAGTTATTTTGATATCTGACAAAATAGACTTTAAACCAAAACTGATCAAAAGAGATAGGGATGTACACTACAAATTAATCAAAGGAAAAATCCACAAAGAGAATAATACACTTCTAAATATTTATGCACTGAATAGAAAGAAACCCAGCATCATTAAAACAGCAGCAAACATTGCTATATCTAAAGGTACATGTTGACCCCAACAAGGTGATAGTGGGTGACTTCAATAACCTACTCTCTCCTTAGACAGATAATCCGTACAAAAACTAAACAGAGAAATGCTTAATTTAAATTTCATCATAAATCAAATGGACCTAGAAGATATTTAGAGAACATTTCATATGAACACAAAAGAATATACCTTCTTAGCAGCTATTGCAACAAAATTGACCAGATATTGGGCCACAAATTAAGTCTTGTCAGATAAATAAAATTGAAATAACACCATACTTCCTACAGTGCATTAAAGCTGGATATCAACAACAGAAACAACAGGAAGCCTACAAATCATGGAAACTAAACAACTCACAACTGAGTAAAAAATGTGTCACAATATAAATGAAGAAAGTTAAAAACTTTTAGAATTGAATGAAAATGAAACTCAACATGTCCAAACCTATGGGACTCAATGATGGCAGCTTTTTTTTTTAAATCAAACTTATGGCACATACATAAAAACTGGAGAGATCTCATATTAATTACTTAAAGATACATTTGAAAGTTTTAGAAAAACTAGAAGAAATAATGCCGAAATGGAGTAGATGGGAATAAATTATCAAACTTACAGCCGAAATCAATAAAATAGAAACAACAATAAAAAATAATACAAAGAATCAATGAAACAAAGAGTTAATTCTTTGAGAACTATCAACAAGATCAACACACATTTAGCAAAATTAACCAAAAGAAAGATTCTACATTAGTAATACTATGTATGAAAAGGGAGTTCAGTTCTTATAACAGACATTAAGGAAATTCATAGAGTCTTAAGGATATATTTTAAAATCTGTATTCCAACAAACTGGAAAACATTTTTTTAAAAAAATACCTGATAGATTTCTTGATGTATATGACTTACCATAATACCAAAGTTAAATCATTGTGAAATAAACAATTTAAACAGACCCATAACTCCAATAGAAATAGAAGCAAAAAATTAACATTTTCTAACAACAAAATAGCCCAGGGCATGATTGACTCAGTACAAAATGAAGATAGACCATCACAGAACTAATGCCAACACTCCTCACATTATTCTGTATTAGAAACCAGGAGAATACTTAAAAATTATTTTCCTGAAGCCACTATTACCCTATGTTGCATGTTGCATGGAAAGGGGTCCCTTTTGTTCCGGCCGCCCAGCTAGCTTTCACCCACAATAACCACACAGAAATTATATTAATTAAATTACTGCCTGGCCCATTATCTCTAGTCTCTTACTTTACTGGCTAACTCTTACATTAATTTAGCCCATCTCTATTAATCTGTGTATCGCCACATGACTGTGACTTACCAGCAAGATTCTAACCAGCATCTGTCTCAGGCAGGAGATCCATAGCATCTGCCACTCTGCCCTTCTTCCCAGCATTCAGTTCTGTCTACTCTGCCTACCTAAATTCTGTCCTATCAATTAAGCCAAGGCAGTTTCTTTATTCAACCATGAAAGCAACACATAAACAGAAGGACCTCCTACACCAACTCTAATTTAGCAACTCACACTAGGACTCAACAACAACAAAGAGAAATTGTGTATCAATATCCCTTATGAACATAGATGCAAAAATTCTTAAGAAAATACTGAATAGAAGAATCCCTACTGTATGAACTGGCTTTTTGGATCCCAGTCTCTGTGGAGGAATGACTTGCTCAGCTTAGATGCTTCAGTGTGACAGACTTTGTTGACTCCCCTTGGGAGGTCTTACCCTCTCTGTCTTAAGAGTGAATGAAGGGTAGAGTGGGGGAAATGGGAGTAGGGGAGGGAGAGGAAACTGGGATTTTTATGTAAAATAAAAAAAACTGTTTAAAAAAGATCATCCACTATCATCAAGTAGTCTTCATCTTAGAGATGCAAGGATGGTTCAATATATGTAAATTAATAAATGTGTCCACCATTTAAACAGACTGAAAGGGAAAAAAAACCACATAGTCATCTAATTAGATGCAGAAAAGACCTTTCACAAAAATCTTAACACTCCTTCATGGTAAAAATCCTGAAGAAATTAGGGATACAAAGGGCATACACAAAAATAATAAAGACAATTTACAGCAAATATATAGCCAACATCAGTTAAAATGGAGAGAAACTCAAAGTAATTTCACTAAAATCAGGAACAAGGCAAAGTTGTTCACTCTCTCCATACCTGTTTAGTATAGTACTTGAATTCTTAGCTACAATAGTAAGACAACTGAAGGAAATCAAGGGACTACAATAAGAAGGAAAAAAGTCAAAGTAGCTTTATTTACAAATGATATGATCGTCTACATAAATGACCCAAAAATTTTTACCAGGAAACTTGTACTTTGATTGATCATACTTTCAGAAAAGTAAAATGATACAAAATTAATACAAATATATAGCCTTCCTGTATGCAAATGACAAACATACCAAGGGAAAAAATTAGAGAAACGTACCTTTAACAATAACCTTAAAAATAAAATAAAACTTCTTGGAATAACTCTTACCAAGCAAGACTTGGAA